ACTCTCTCTATTCTTCAAAACGACTGATTTCAGCTTTATAATACACAGATCGGCCCGGCCGATCGCAATATCGTCCTGGGACGATCTGAACAAAATCCATCGTCCTGGACAGTTCACAGGGCGATGCTCAGGACGAAATGATGCACTGAACCGATCGGTCTGGACGATGTCCCTATCGGCCCGGCCGATACCTACAGGAAAATCACCTGGAGCAATCTGGACACATTCTGGAGCAAATCCTCAACTGATCGTCCCAGGACAATCCCAGATCGTCCTAGACGATCCTGGAGCAAAAACAGCACTTTACAACTCACCCCCAATTTGAGGGCTCTGGGGAGAAGCCCTCGGAATTTTGTGTGTGTGTGTGTGTGTCCCCACGAAAATTTTGTGTGTCTGTGCAACGCATTAACTATTGTGGACACAATGTTGAGGCATTGTTGACACAACACCGGGCTACTATTGACTCGCTATGAGACCCAATGTTGAGGCATTGAGGGTCCAATGACGCAGCACTACAAGCCAACTGAGTTAGTTTGTTTTTCTTTTTGCATTGTGTAGGTTATAACTCAATGATGATTATCATTTGATGTATGAGTGTGAAATTTTTGAAACACTATAAAAAGAGAGTAAGATATGTATAATTTCTCTCAGTTCATAGTGGATTTCTTAAAGTAGTATGGCTCCATTTCTTTTTTATTTTATTTTTTTGGATTTTTCACGTAAATTTGATTTTTTTCTTCGACGTATTTTTCTTATTTATTTCAATTTTTTTATTCTCAACAATGATTAGAATCCAAAACACCATAACAAACACTTTGGATGCAATCTATGCTAGAGCCTTGTATTAAAAAAGTCCTTCAAAATTAAAATATTTTGCATTTTATTTCAAAATAACTTTGTAGCACCAAAGTCACATAAATTATAAAGTATGTCAAAATAAATAAATAAATAATTCAAGATCATAAGAAAACAAAGGACATGTCAACTTCACATCCAAAAAAAAAAAGTACATCAATTGTTGTATATTATTAATTCTTATTCTAGTTGAAGACTGCAATAAATTCCATTGATATAATCACCAATAAACTTAAATCCACCATTACTTGAAGTGGTGCAGTGATACTGGTCAAACAGCATGCATGGCTAGCAAAAGTGTGAAAATTTTGACTGCTCTTTCCTTTAGCCATAGCAAGAAACTTCTTTCCACAATGGGTAATGGTGAAACTAAATATCCTATCATCTTCTCCTCTGGCCTATTGACTAAGCTCTCCAAGATCAATAATATAGCTTTTTGAGATCACTTGACCTCTTACAAATAAGAAGCTAAGAAAAGCCGTGTCTTTCAACATGAGTATTGCAAGGTATACAAATGAAGATAAAATATGATGCACACTCACAAATAATATGTCCTTCTAGGATTTGATAATAGTGGCTCAATGAGTTTAAAAAAAAAAAAAAAAAAAATCTTATCTATATATTCTCTTATACTGATTCTTAGCCTCTCACTCATTTAGGGTTTGAAATAAATCCTAAAACAAAAAAAATAGAGAAGTGTGATTATATAGTATGATCTATATCATATAGTATAATTGATTAAATATGATTTGTATCCATGAGCTCTTAATCTTATCTACTTAATTATATTAAGTTAGGAAATCTATCATAGAGTATGGTATATATCATATAGTATGCTCAATTCAAATTTAAAATTAATCTAAATAAAATAAATAAATTGTTTGCCTACTTATTATTGTTAATAGAGAAACTATTAAACATGATTAACTTCACTATTTTAGGTTATGATTGGTAGTACTAAACTCGAGAGTATGAAAATGTTGCAACAAAAGCAATAAAAATATGAAAGAATTAACTACAAATATATAATCAACAATTAGTTAATTGAGATATTATTTTAATTTTTGACATTTCTATGATAGTTCTCTCATATTTAAATAAATTCATTAAGAGATTATTTTATTTGATGGATTCAAATACAAAAGTAAATATATCAGAAAATATAATGAATTTGATTATTATTTTTATTAGCGTGGAGAAAATTGATCAGTAAAATAATAATTATTTTTTAAAAAACATTGTTTAAATATTAATTGGGTATAATATTTCATTATTTTTTAATAAATAATAATATAATGTTCAAATCTTAAACATATTGCATAAAAAATCAAGAAATGAATTAAAATTTAAAGAAGTAAAATGAGTTTTTGGAATTATGACTTCAAAATAGTTTAATTATATTTAAATAATAAATAATATAAATATTCAATTTTAAATATTTAATAAGAAATATGTTTGAGGATTTATGATGCAAATGATGTATTATAAAATCATTAAATTTATATTATGATTAATATAACATAGAAAATAGTAGAAATTATTAATTTACTATTAAATTAGTAAATCTAAGAGCTTCAAAGCAAAGTATAGCAAAGCTTATGAGAGATGTTTTTAGAATGTAATTTGCTCATATGCAAAGTATTAATTCATTTCATATTATTTGACATTCATAAATCATAGGACATCTAAAATTATCTCAATCAAATATAAATCTTGATGTATATTTAAATTGAAAAGTTTCAAAATTAAATTGGGATCATCTGAATTCGATTTTTAACAAATTTATAGTCAAATTAAATATCTCAATGAGATAAACACAACGAACAAAAAAAAATCCGAGTCCAGTGAAGCCCAATCAAATATTTGAAATGTTATTTGAAAGTTCAAAGTGTTAATTTTTGACCAAATGATTTCCAAATATGACATGCTTATAGTCGAATCAAGCGGCTTGACGAGACAAATCTAACGAGCCTAAGGTTGCTCAATTCCAATATCATTTAAGAACCCAAAAGTTGAAGAATCAAGCTATGATTAAGAGAATCAATATGTAACATCCAATGAAGTTATCTAAATCTTCTTCATATTTATGGGACATGTTGCTCTTAATAATTTATAAATAGGCCCCTATTCTCCACTTGAAGTAGGATTTTAGTTGGAGATTGGAGAGAGCCATGAGGCTTAAAGGACCTCGAAGATCCATCAAAGCACTACCACCATTGACCCTCGTTGGGTGACCTTCTCTGTTGGACCTCTGTCGTCACCCAACCTCTGCCTGAGCATCATCACCGTGACCTTCACTTGATCAACCATTGTCAACGCCTCCACCAGACCTCTACTTGACCAATCGCTCCCAACACATTCACTCTGTCATTGACAACCACAAACACCTACTTCCGACTATAGTCACAATCCGACCTCTGCCCGATCATAGCCGTCAAACTTCTATTGATCAACCATTGCATAATCGCCATCAAACCTCTTGCCAACTAAACATAGCCATCAAATTCGTGACATCCTGATAGGGCTATCATTATTTCCAACTAGGGGTATCAATTTCGGGTCACGGGTTGGGTTCGGGTCAAACCCGAAACTATTCGGGTCAACCCGAACCCAACCCGTTTTTGAAAAAGGGTCAGTTTTCCTGACACGAACCTGACCTGCTTTAGGTTCGGGTCAAACCGACATGACCCGAATGACCCGTTTCCAATAAAAAATTGCTAGTTTTCGGGTCAAAAACGGGTCTATCTCATCTTTTTCGGGTAAAAAACAGGTTTATCTCCTCTTTTTCGGGTCAAAACGGGTCAAAATTGGGTCAATCTCTGGTTGTCGGGTCAAAATCAGGTTTTCAGGTCAATTTCGGGTCAAAGGGTTAACCCGAACACGACCCAATTTTTGAAACGGATCGAAATGTTGAACCTGAACCCCACCCATTTCAGGTTCGGATTGACCCTAACCCGAAATTTTTGGGTCGGATTCGAGTCAGGTTTTAGGATCGTGTCAAATATTGACACCCCTATTTCCAATCATAATTTCCATCTGCAAGATAAAGGCGAGCCAATATTTACAACTTTTGCATACATAACAAAAATTTCCAAAGAGTAAAAACTTCTCACTTTCGTCAAAATTTTCACGTAAAAAATCTTTGTTATTTTTTTTTATCTATTTACGTTTTGAATCTTCGTACAAAACAGAATGCAAAATCGTTTTCACTCAACAATGGTGAGTTTCGATTCCTCATTAATAAATTAATATTTTATCAATATCCATAACGAGATAATTTGTTTAAAATAAGAAGATTTTCAAGTTAAAAAATTGTTGCCAGCAGGCAACAAAGACAACAATTTTCATTTATATTATGGTAAGGTCACGTGCCCTTACGAGCTAACTAATTGCAGTATTTGAATAATTTGGAATGAGCAATGCTCATAACAGGTCAAATTTGTGAGTACCGAGTTCCGACAGGCTAGCAAAGAGATTCCATCCGCCTATATATTATATTTTTTTTTAACCGAGCTTTATATTAAACGATTTAAAGCTACAGCGTTAAAGCTTGATCCTCTCTGTTCTCCACACTACGCTTTCCCTTCGTTTCTCACGTCAATACTTTGCGGCGAGGAGATCCGTAGGACGAGGAAATTTTAATGGCCTCCGCCTGCGTCAATGTTGTCGGAATGGCGCCGGAGAACTTCCTCGAGTACATGCCTTTGTTTCCTTCTTGCAACTGGTTCGGTGCAAAAATATCTTCCAGCTGCGAAATCTCCGACAATGGCGCATCAAAGAATGGCGTTGTTGAGAAGATCATGGAGCCCGGTTTCTTCGAGGTGGACGTGTCTGGGAAATTGGAGACGGAGAGAACGGGGAGCGATTCGGTTGATTTTGAGTTCCGGCTTGGCAATACCGTGTCGAAGATGCTCCCAGCTGACGAGCTCTTCTCGGACGGAAAGTTAGTCCCGCTCCAGATTGCATTGGCGAAGGCGGATGAGGAGTGTCCGCCGAAGGCTCCGGCACACTCGCCGGAACCAATGAAAGCGCAACTCGGCGTCGAAATCGCGGGATCTGATGATCCGCATGAGTTTTCTCCCAAAGCGCCGAAGTGTTCTAGTCGGTGGAAGGAACTACTCGGTCTGAAGAAGGCGCATAACCCTAAGCCAATGCACCAAAAATCCACGCTTGCTGCTTCCATGGCCGAGAATGCCAAATCTTTGAAGCATTTCCTTTACAGAAACTCCAAATCTTCTTCGTCCTCTGACTCCTCCTTGAGTCTTCCACTCTTAAGGGACTCCGATACCGAATCGATTTCCATTTCATCCCGCCTCTCACTCTCCTCATCCTCCTCTGGTGCAGATCACGAAGACTTCCCTCGTCTCTCCTTCGATTTTGACAAGCCGAACCCTATCCAAATCTCGGCGACGCCCTTGCTCCGGAATCATCCCCGGGTGAGATTCACGGGAGTCAAATCTTCCGCCTTGGACGGTAATGTTGCATTGCGAGTCGCCCGCAGTCGGACTCGTCGAATCCCGGAGTACGGTGAGATGCCACCGCCTCGTGGGGGGTCTGTGGACAGCCCCAGGCTCAACGCATCCGGGAAGGTAATCTTCCAAGGGCTTGAGAGGAGCTCGAGCAGTCCGAGCACTTTCAATGGCGGGCCGAGGCATCGACCACGCGGAATGGAACGCAGCTACTCAGGCAACGTCCGGGTAACGCCGGTCCTCAACGTTCCTGTATGCACCCTTCGGGGTTCAGCCATGTCTGTCTCAGTATTTGGCTTAGGGCAGCTATTCTCGCCGCAGAAGAAGGAGAAGAAGCACTTTAACAGCAGCAGCAATGGCGTCAGCAGCAGAACCAAAGCAAAGAACGCCAAATCTGATTTTTGAGTTTAATTAGGTAACTCACTAAAAAAGTTTGATTAACTCTTATTTAGTTTTTTTGCATTCATTTTTCGGATCTCTATCATTGTGTAAATATTGGTATTTTAGGGATGATTTATTACCCTTTTTTTGCCCCTTTTAATCAATTTTTCTCTGTTCTTATGACGTCGACCTATCTGTCTGTGTGGAGGATCAGTGAAGGCGGTGATTTTATTATGAGTCATAAATTAAAAGATTTAAAATTTATGAAGCTTGTCTTTGAATTCCAGTTCAAAGTTTTTCCAAAAGAAAAAAAAAAGCCAGAAAAAAACATTTTTGTTATAAATATTTGAACTTTGATCTGATGACATGATATTTATGGAGTTTGGAGAAACTCTTAGAACTTATAGTTTTACAGAGAGACCGGATTTTTATAACATTTAAATTTTTATATTTATTTATATAATATTTTATCATTCAAATCAGATCAAAATGTGATTTTTTTTTGTTAAAAGATAAAATATTACACAAATAAACAGAAATTTTTATTTATTAAAATAAATACATAATAAAAAAATATTTTGGTTGTACATTTATGAATATAACTTTATTCTCTGATGATTTAAAATTCTGACTATCAAATTAATACAAAAAAAGTATATTAAAATTGGGTGGCTAAAATAATATATTTAAACTATCCTCACTTGGCAAAGCAAGTACTAGCCGTTGTTGTCCCGATGGGACAGCTTTTTACTACTTATTAAAACAGTTTTATAGTTTAAAATTTTTAATTATTATATTAAAAAATTGTTTTAAAAAATTGTCATAAAGTTTAAATGAATGTTTATTTTATACTAAATGTATATTTATTTTAAAATTCTTTAACTAAAAAAATTTTCATAAAACAATAAGAAAACTAAATCAAATGAAGCCAATATAGTTGAAAAAAAAAATTGACAGTTAAAAGATAAATGTTAGCAATATATATTTAAATAAAAAACATATATTCAAATGTTTTCAACCATAGCTAGTTCCGTGTACACGTTATAAATGATTAATTTTTTGTTCAACGGTCTTCCTGCTGCTGAACCAACAGGTCTGACAAAGCCCTCAGATCGCTGCTCAGAACATGTCCAACGAACGGTGCATGATCAAAGGATTCGATATCGGCCGTCCATTCAAACCACTCCCAATTCGCCCATGATCTCACGCCTATTTACGGGCTATGCCACTCCAGAAAAACTATAAATAGAGCCTTCATTCCACACAAAGGGAACTCAAGTGAAGAGAGATAAGAAGAAGAGAAGAAGAGGAGAAAGGGGAAAAGGAGAATCCTCTCCTCCTCGACCACCGCCAGAGCTCTTCCCGCCGCCCGAACACGCCAGGATTCTGCCGGATATTTGGGAGAACGCTAGAATTCTTCCCAACTTACACGGGATGTTGAAATTCTTCTCAATTAAGGACAGAGTTCCCTCCTAACGCTGAAACTCCGCCCTAGTGAGGCCGGAGTTCTCCTCTTTCACCAACAAACGTTGGATTTCTATCCGACGTCGCACCTTCACTCTTCGCCAAGTTTCTACCTGACGCTGGACTTCTACCGGTTATCGGACTTCGCTGGATGTGTACACAAAGATGGGTTTCTTTCCATTGTTGGACTTTTACCCGACGTTATCCTTCTGATCTTCGTCGTCAGACTACAGTCTTTCCGACCTCCGTCGCCCGTCGACTACGGTTCTCCTTACTTACATCGCCCTCCGATTACAATCCTTTCGACCTCCGTCGCCAACCGACTATGGTCCTCCTGACATACGTCTCCCACCGACTACAAGTCTTCCTACCTCCGTCGCCCTCCGACCTCCGTCGCCCTCCGATTGCGGTCCTTCCGACCAAACAAACATGTCAACAATGACTCTTTGTATTAACATCATGTAATGTACTCCATAAGATGTACATCAAGCTAAGACCTTCCACCAAGGAAGGACCTCATTTGTAATGAACTACAATACTAGTGGATTCATTCAAACTGGGCTAGGCCCCGTGGTTTTTCCTCCCTTTTCAGGGGTTTTCCACGTAAAAATATTGGTGTCTCATGTGAATGCTAGAGCCTCTCTCTTATCTGATTGCGTGCTGGATTTTCGTACAATGCTAAGGCGATAAACTTTATATTTCTCTACCGCCGCGAATACTCTTGGACGCAACACATATAATGGTGAACATTTGCTGGATAGAATTCAAAGATTTCAAAAATTTCATAGCTTTGCTTAACGACCATTACCAACCAACATTAACATATGAGTTGACAATAATTTTCTTTTGATTTATATCGGTTCATCAACTATTAATGTCCAATGTTCATTTTCTTGATTTTCGATTCTCCCCTCATATTAGGATAATTATGATCGAGTTGATTATCAATCGTAATCAATCACAGATGTTCCTTATTGATCATTGTCTGACTGATACCAATGATTGATGTGCAATAATCATCAATTAGATGACACTTTTTCTTGGTCGGTCAAACTCTCTTGATATTAGGAGAGTCAAAAGGTTACTCCTATTATAACACAATTTCAAGTATTATTCCTCAAACGTCACCCAACATATATCAACACTTGACATCTATTATGCGTTAGCCATTCATTTTGACATCTCACCTTCAAATTCAATGGAATTTGACACACTACCATTTGACACACTACCTTCCATCCTGTTAAGAGAATGATTAAAAATTGTCACCCAACTTTTCATGCTCCTCGATGACCATCAATTGAAGCCTACTAATGATCAAAGTCCAACATCTACCATCTACTAAAGTCAACCGCATGTTTTCTCGATGGCTTTTCATTTTTTCTTATCAAAAAAATAAACCTACTAACCACCAACTGTCGATAAGTTTCCAATATTCCTTATTAATTGTTGTTCAAATCTGACTAATGTTCATTATCCATCAACCACCAATGGTTGGTGCATGCCTTCTTTCTCATTCAATCTCCCCTCCTATAAAGAGAATGACTTTGTATATTGTCTAGAATCGTTCATCTTTTGATTTTTGTCATTAATCATCTTCCAATATATTTGCTGAAAGCCAATGTTCATCTCCCATCAGCCACCAACATTCGACGCCACTCTCCTTCAACTGTGTTTTGGCAAGATAAACCCTATTAATATCAATGATATCTAAAATTGTATCGCAATTACATATGTGCATAATCAAAACTTCTTGAGGCCATTTTAAGGGTCAAATACTTGTTTAAATTTGTGCGCTTATAAACAAATCAAGTGCCTTGTTATGACAAATTTGATAAGCCAGAAATAGAAATTTTTTTAGTTAAGCTAGCCAAAAAGATATTAAAAAATATCAAAGGTTATCATTGATTAGGTGTCCAAATGTTTATCATAAACAAACATAATACCACCACCAAAAAGTTATAAATTGGTTTTATTTTTACACATTCAAAAACTAAAATTTAGAGGAGAGAATACTAGAATAGAAGAAATAGCTTTGCATGCCATCACTTAACATTGGTCTACAATCAACATCAACATTTTTTAATGTCATTGTTTCATGTTGATCATCAACCGGTGTTGATGTCATCATCACCATAATCCTTTCACACATACTGCTAGCAAGTAACACACATTGACATTTGATAGTTTCGTCACCAGATCCTTGTTATTTGATTCATTTGATAACTGATATTAGATTTCTTTTGTAGGTCATCTCCCAATACATATTAACATCTTATATTCGTAAGCCATTGACATGCAATACTTATCATCTCAATCAAATAGTCTCACCTTATATCATGATAGATTTTAGTTGATTATCAACTACTGCTATGACTTTTAATGTTCCTTATCAACTATCACTCTATGTCTACTAATGCCCAACATCCATAAACAATTACTATTTGACTATTATCTTCAAAGTTATATAATCTTTCATATTATTATGAGAGCAAAGAGGTTAATCACCGACTATCACCCATCTTTTGACATTTATCTTAATCAACACTTGATGCTTATCAATAACTAACCTCCAAACTCTATTGGCCGCCAATATTTGATGTTTGATTTCTCAGTCACTTGATCTTTCATCGATTACAAAAAGATTTTGTTGATCAGAAAAACATTAACCATTGCCTAACATATGACATGTTGGGAAGAAAAACACAAAAAAGAGGAAGAAAATAACAGTATTGAACACCATAATGTGAAAAAAATAATTAAAATTGGGAAAAAACACAGAGCCACACCACATCAAGAAATTCACTATGAGAATTGAGAGAAATTGTACAAATCTCTATTTTCTCAATCTCTTTTTATTGTCTTCACCTCTATCTTCGTCCTACACTCAAAATAAAACCCTTCAAATTCAACATGAAAAACAAGAAAGAAAACTGCTTGACCCAACTCAAACATGGCAATTCTAGGGTCTGGTGGGCTATGACACTCTACCGTATGTCTCCATCCCAATTTTGTAGTGTCGTGATGCAGGCGCTCCAGAGCAACATAGTGCTTATCCAAGCTAGGACTATAGGCCATTGCACTGCAACCTACGCCACAACAACACACGGGTGTACGATGCTATAACAATCTAATGTACATCTTTGCAGCACTATGTGGCTTTACACTAGCTTAAAAAAAAAAAAAAAAAAAATGGTGCAAGCCCTCGAACCCCAAGTAGGGGGAGTACTGCCCCCTATAATTACCCGGTGAGTTCGACCAACAAAATTAAGATTTGTGTCAACAATACACCCCGATTGATCCACTTGATTATATTATACTAATAATTGATGTCTGATGTCCATCATCCATAAACATTCATCTTCTAGGTATCCTAGTCTTCTCTCTTAATAGGAGAAAACCCTAGTCAATCACTAGTTATCACCAAACTTCAAACTTTTCATATTAATCATTTATTGATATTTAATTATATGTAACTAAAACAGTTTTATTTTAATATACTTTTTTTTCTCCTACAAATATTTGGCATTTAAAATCCAAAGATTATCATCTTCCCCCAA